TCACAAGGCTTCATCTGCCCATCTCTAATAGAACTTGACTGAATAAGACTTACCACTTCCAATATGCCCATAGACACAAAAGCCAAAAAGTGCTAGAGAAAATCTGCAAAATAAAAACACTTGTTAAACACACTTTGCTTTATAGAAGAAAAAACAAACAAACAACAAATTAAACCTTAAGAGTTGCACAGTGGTACCCTCCATGTTCAGCAAAAAACAACTTAACAAAACCAATACAAAATAAGGAGACACATTTGTCTCCCCCACAGCACATATTAGGGCTGTTGAACTGGACTTTTTATAGTGCCTGCTACTGCCAATTGTCAGACAATCAGTTGTCATGGGAACATGTAATATACAGTTATTAGGTTCAGGTGTCACAGCCCTCATCACAGGAAAAGCTGACCTTCTATTTCAGACTTATTGAACTGATTTTGTCAAGCATATTTTTGTTTTACAGAATGAATGCATTCAAAAAAAAAAAAAGATGTTAGCGTTATTTAAAATATATTTTTACCAGATTTAATTGCCTATATTACTAGATTTAATAAGACATGTCTATGAAAGAATAATTAATATAATATTCCTATGGAGAGAACTGTGTAGAGCTTCTCCAAACATTGAATATTAAACAACAAATAATGAAAATTTGATCATGCTAAAAATCATAAGAAAAAATTTATCAGAACATATGGCTACTTTTAAATGGTCATTAGAGAAAGATGCTTTTTGTCCCATAATAGTGAAGTTATGGCATTTTAGGAACTCTGGTCATGTACTCTAAGACAGTGGTTCCCAACTCTGGTCCTTGAGGCACCCCAACACTGCACGTTTTGCATGTCTCCTTAATCAAACACACCTGATTCAGGTCATCATCTCGTTAGTAGAGACTCCAAGACCTGAAATTGGTGCATCAGAGAAAGGAGACATGCAAAATGTGCAGTGTTGGGGTGCCTCCAGGACCTGGGTTGGGAACCACTGCCTTATACAACAACATTCAACATTCACTGTTTTCATATGTTTGTAGAAACCCTTTGAATAACTTGTAAAGCTACTAAGCTATTTCAGTTTATGTTATTAATCATGTTAATTAATGTACATTAAGTACAGGGATATCTTCTTTTGCAGTAGTTTTAACTTAAGTGGTTCAAGATTAATTATGTACATACTACAAAAAAATAAAAATGCAGTTAGATCTTTGCATGTCTCGCTGGAGAAACCTCAAATGATTTCAATGAAACACAAAGACAGCCTCCAGAATCAAGGAACCTCAAACTCAAGGCTATGAAGAGAGAGCCAGCAGCAGGGCCGTTTCTAGCCAATTTGACGCCCTAGGTGAAATCCCTATTGCCCCCCCCCCCCAAATTATATATATATATATATATATATATAATTATT